TGGGGTGCAGGGTGTCTGGGGGCTGCGCGGGGAGGTTTGGGGGGGGCGCCCACTTGGGGGCACCCACCTGCCCACCCACACCCAGGCAGGCACTGGCACATGCTTCGCACACGCTTCGCACACGTGTGTCCCTGTGCAACCCCCCTGTGCGCACACACCCCCCATGTGCATACACACACCCACGTGTGCACACCCCCCCAGTGTGCACGCACACACAAAGCCCTGTGTGCACGCACCTCCCCGTGTACACACACACACGCGCGCACACCCCTGCGTGCACACCACACACGCACTATGCGCACACCCACCCACACACCCACACTCACGCCGCCATGCACATGCCTATGTGCACAAACACATGCTCACACCCATGCACACACGTGCTCACACCCACACACGCTCACACCCACATGCATGCACACGTGCACGCCCAGCCCCATGCACAGGCACCCCTCACACACGTCACACACACACAGAGCCCCCCGCGCTCCCCCCGCGGCGGCAGGGCAGGGCTGATGGATGGCCTCCTTTCAATCCCGGCTCCTCGTTATTGATTTTCCTTTAATGAAAGTTAATTATAACAATGATTTAATTAATAGCGGCTCTCTCTGCCTTTATGGCTTCCCGCATTAGGGCCGCCCATAAATACGGCTGCCTGACAGCCCGCGCAACACCGCCGCCCCACACCCCACCCTGGGGTGACACCGTGTCCCCCCCACATCATGGGGGGCCTCCAGCACCCCGGGGTGACGTTGCCCCCCCACACACCCTGGGGGGCCCCCGGTCCTCCAGCACCCTGGGGTGACATGCCCACCCCCCAAACACACACCCCCCGGGGTGACATGATGCCCTCCTGTCCTCACACACACGTGCACCCTCCTTGCACACACCCGTGCAAACACACGCAGGCAAAGCACACGGACCACAGCGATGCCCACACACTCCCCCCCACGTACACACACCTGGGCACGCACAGGTGTACACACACCCCCATGTACACATGCTTGGGCATGTACACGTGTCACATGTGCATGCACACACATGTACGCACACCTGGGCACGCACACACGTGTCACGTGTGCACACAGCCCCACGTACGCACACATGGGCACGCACACGCGTGTCACGCGTTCACACCCCCCCACACGCACCCACGG